ACCAGAGCGCACGGAAACACTGTTTACCTTCCCGCTGCAGCGGTACTTATTTATCTACTTGCACTGGCATGCTTTCGAACTGCTAGGTTGGCAGGAGCTGGGACAGAGCAACAGGAGCTCATCCTGTTGCAGGGATTCGAACCGCTGACCTTCTGATTGGCAAGCCCAAGAGGTCAGGAAACTTTTACAGCAGGGGGCTGGTCCACTGTGTCCCTTCAAAACTTTTGCTATTAAAACAGGGGAAAGGGTGAGTGACAGGTTTGGAAACTATGGCCTGGGAGGAGTCAAAGGAGGCCAGTGCAGAGATACTATTGCAGGAGTATTGAAGAACATTTATGTAGCACAAGGAGGTGCAGACCACCCTGTAGGAATCCCGTAAATATCCAGATTGAGAGCCTGAAATGCTTCTTGATGCTAACACCTGCAAAAGGATACCTGCAAGGGATGGTGGATCTGTGGCCCTCCAGATGTAGTTAGATTCCATGGGGTTGGCTGGGAAACTGCCATGAGTACAAAATACTGTAGCACAACTGTAACCAGGAGTAGGAGCCTGTCATTGCATTAGGCCTGTGCTCAGACATCTCCACTGGCTACTGATTTGTTACCAGACCAAGTTGATGGGTTTACTATTGATATATATAAAGCCCTTGACAGATTGAGGCCAGTTTACTATGCAATGACATTGCTCCAGGAATGGGAAACATGCAACATTGCTGGAGAACAGGCTTCCATCCTTGGCCATTGCCCATGCCGGCCAAGGGGGAGGTGGACTGTTAAGTTGTGGGTGAACGTATCAGACGACACAGTGATTCTTCAAACAGCTCTTGTTTATTCAGAGGCCAGAACAGAACTGAACTGAAGGGTTCAGCCAGCCTGCTTATATAGAGCTCCACTAGAACGCAACAGTAACCATTTTCTGTAACTATCCAATCACTGAATGTCACTTTTGATCCCTTATTTGCATATGTGGACCTGAACTATCTACAGTATCCCCCTGTTGGCCCAGGGTGAGAACTTCAATACATAACATGGACTCCAGCAAAATCTGTAAGGCTCCAAGAATCATGGGTCTGGACATAGGTTCTGTTGCTTTATTGTAATTGCCGGACTACAACTTCCATCAGTCTTGACCAGTGTTTCCCAAAGTGGGCAAGATCGTCCCCGGCACTGGAATTATCATCGGGTGGTAGTACAGTGGTACCTCGGGTTCAGAACTTAATTCGTTCTGGAGGTCCATTCTTAATCTGAATCTGTTCTTAACCTGAAGCACCACTTTAGCTAATGGGGCCTCCTGCTGCTGTCACGCCACCGTAACACGATTTCTGTTCTCATACTGAAGCAAAGTTCTTAACCCGAGGTACTATTTCTGGGTTAGCGGAGTCTGTAACCTGAAGCGTATGTAACCTGAAACATCTGTAACACAAGGTACAAGTAGGGACAATCGCACCAAAAATTATTAAAAGAATGGGGATGTGCTAAAGAGTATATTAAAAAACATTGTTCTGGAGTAAGTGTATCGGCATGTGACGAATGAAGTTTTGCAGGGTTAAAGAAAGAGAAAAAATGTGCAAACAGTATACATATAGAGGTAATCTACATTAGACACAACAATTTAGAAAGAGTAAAATTTTTGAGTGAGAGCTGGACCATAAAGAAGGCTGATCGCCATAGAATTGATGCTTTTGAATTCTGGTGCTGGAGGAGACTCTTGAGAGTCCCATGGACTGCAAGAAGATCAAACCGATCCATTCGGAAGGAAATCAGCCCTGAGTGCTCACTGGAAGAACAGATCCTGAAGCTGAGGCTCCAATACTTTGGCCACCTCATGAGAAGAGAAGACTCCCTGGAAAAGACCCTGATGTTGGAAAGATGGAGGGCACAAGGAGAAGGGGATGACAGAGGACGAGATGGTTGGACAGTGTTCGCGAAGCTACCAGCATGAGTTTGACCAAACTGCGGGAGGCAGTGGAAGACAGGAGTGGCTGGCGTGCTCTGGTCCAGGGGGTCACGAAGAGGCGGACACAACTAAATGACTAAACAACAACAACAAAAATTTTGAGGTCTTAGAACAAAGGAAGGAAGTCAATATGTGTATATGTACGTAATGATTAGAATGATGATATGGTTATATTTGTAGATGTGTGTTTTTGTTTTTGCTTGTGTTTTTTTTCCTCTTGTGTTTTTCTCTCTCGTTTGTACTGTTTTATTTTGGATTCAATGTTTGCGATTTTTGTTGTAATTTTGCATTGAAAATAAAATATTAAATAAAATATTAAAAAAGAAAAGGGGTCAGTAGACCATACACATTCGGGAATTTCTTGGTCTTGAGTCTTGGCCATGCTGGCTGTGGGTGAGGGGAGTTAGGGGTCTAAGTATCTAAATACCAAGTTAATTACTCAAATTGGTTTAGCTGGAGCCGTACACTCCTGGGATCACCAAATGCCTCTTCCCAGAGAGCAGCGCAGGATGGGGGGTTCCGGCACTATTCTAAGATTATGTCTGCTCGGAAGTAAGCTTAATTGGGTTCAGTGAAACCCGCACACAATAGGATAAAGAATGTCAGCCTTCCTAAGTTATTCCTCCCCGCCTCTGCATCTTCACACACCCATGCTACCACCCTCAGGTGAAGCGATGGTGGGATGAAAAACATCTTGTGAAACAAGGAAGTGAAAATAATTAGAGAGCGCCTATTAAACAGCTGACAATTAAACAGCTGACTGTTAATTTTAGGCTCCCAGAATTGAGCAATAATTATTTCCTCTATGCGCACCAGCGAACCGTATAAAAAGGGTTGTCCCCCAATGGGTTACACCAGAAGCACCCGATCTTCTGAAACCATCTCTTCGGATCCAGTAGGAAACCAGGTAATTTCTTTCCTTTTAATGGGCAAATGGTTCTGCAAATGCTTCTCTACTCCGCAGGTTCTTCAATATCAGACTAACCTGATTTGATCTCTCCCCGCCATACCCAACTTTTACCCAAAGTGAAATGTTGAGGGAAATTTCTGAGTTCCTCCCTGGGCAAAATTCTGGAGAAATGTCATAAAGAGTGTTTCAGTTGAGCTACGGTTTGGTGTTTCGATGCTTCTCGCTGATTTCGAATGTCCCCGGGGGACATCTTCTGGAGAAAAGAGTCTGTCCAGTTAGCGTAACTGATAATGTTTGGGGACTCAGCTTGGCACCAAACATTTCCTAAAGAGGACCTTCTGGTGGATTTGGAGCGCACTAGGGGAATATATGGGACGCGGGTGGCGTTGTGGGTTAAACCACAGAGCCTAGGACTTGCTGATCAGAAGGTTGGTGGTTCGAATCCCTGCGATGGGGTGAGCTTCCGTTGCTCAGTCCCACCTCCTGCCAACCTAGCAGTTTGAAAGCACATCAAAGTGCAAGTAGATAAATAGGTACCACTCCGGCGGGAAGGTAAACGGCGTTTCTGTGCGCTGCTCTGGTTCGCCAGAAGCGGCTTAGTCCTGCTGGCCACATAACCCGGAAGCTGTACGCCGGCTCCCTTGGCCAATAAAGCAAGATGAGCACCGCAACCCCAGAGTCGGCCACGACTGGACCTAATGGTCAGGGGTCCCTTTACCTTTACCTTTAGGGGAATATATGGAGCTGCCCTCTTTAGATTCAGACTGCAGGTGCATCTAGCTCAAGTCCTGCCAGCACTGAATGACAGCTGAGTTTAATTGAAAGAACACAGATAAAACATAGAAGGGGTGTGTGTGTGTGTGTGTGTGTGTGTGTGTGTGTATATATATATATATGCTAAAAACAAAAAGCTATAACAGAAATGTAGTTTTGGAACATAGGACCAGGATTTTTTTAAATATCCATTTTCACTCTTCCCACCCCTTTCTCTGAAAGTAACACATAGTGTCTTTTTCTTCTTTGGCAATCCCTCGTAGCCGAGTAAGATTGTCTTCCATAAACACGGTTTTAACAATGAGTCCGTAAGGGACTGTGGAGGCCAATTCTGGATCCACACGTCCTTCCACAGTGGGGACATTGGTTTCCGGGTGGGAGTTGATCACGGTGAGGGTTTGCCAAGCGTGCCTTCCTCTTGGCACGTTTCTCCCTTGCGTCCTGAGTTCGAGTGTCTTCAAAGCCCATGACACCTTTGGTAAAGGCTGTTCTCCAACTGAAGTGCTCGCAGGCCAGTGTTTCCCAGTTGTCAGTGTTTATACCACATTTTTTTAGATTTGCCTTGAAAGGGTCTTTAAACCACCTTTGATGACCACCAGCATTACGCTTTCCATTTTTAAGTTCGGAATAGAGTAGTTAACACATAGTGCATTGCATCCTGGGTAACTTCCTGGAAGCCACATGGCCGTGGTGGGTTGGGACCAGAGGGAAAATTGAGGCTGGGGGCTGGAAGCTCAGGGTGGATAGAGGGGGCGGGGAGAGGAAAAGGTGGATGAAGCAACAGGTGCAAATATTACCTTTATGCAGTAGTCTAGTATCTACTCACACAATCCCTCTCTGTCCTCTACCCAGGCATGCAAGAGGCATGACCAGAGTTGAAAGACACATTTCACACATACCAAAAAAGGTTTGGGACGTGAAGCAGGGCTCTGTGAGAGATGCAGAGAAGAGGCATGGCTGCCAAGGGGGTGTTTGATCTAGGAATAATAATAATAATAATAATAATAATAATAATAGGAAGAGTTCTGAGGGCAGATAGAGAACCTTCAATGGCTGCATTTGGCCCCTTGGCCTGAGGTTCCCTACGTCTGCTTTAACCCAATTTTGCATATTATACCCGCTCTTCCAAAAACCTCATTCTTGGTAATAGACCTCATAATTGTAATAAACTTTATGCAATAGATAGAACACAGTAGAAAAGGTTTGAGTGAAAACACTGCGGAAATCAGGGGTGGGAAGTCAATTTATGAAACGATGTAGCTGTTTGGTACGAAGAAGATTGTGAAAATGTTTGAAAAAGTTAATAACAAAATTATACTGCAATAACCTCATTTCAGATCTTTCCCAACCAGCTTCAAGATGTCTCTGCTGAACGACGGTATCTTGATGGAGGACTTCTATGACCCAGAAATGGAAGGCCTGGACTCCTTCTATCAGTATCCGTACTGCTACCGACCTCGTCAGCGTAGCTGCTACTACCCTAGGGGTTATGGTTATGGCTATGGCTATGGTTATGGCGGCGGCTATGGTTCCAAGTGGCGTCCTGGCTACACTTGGCAATATCCACAGTACTGCCCCCCACAGTATTATGGCCCCGGTCGCTGGCCATGTTACTACCCTGGCAAGAGGTGGCCGTGTTAAGTCCAGATGTAACGTTGATGACCCAGGAAAGAAGAGGCAAGATTCTGACCCGCAGCTGAATGAATGGACACAGTAGTCAGAACTGCTGAGCACTCCAGAGGCCCTACTGTTCAGCCAGTGGGATTTGTGAGGTCTCCGCACTTCTGCTAACGCTTCATGCTTGGACTTTATTCCTTTGGTTTCCCCTGTTTCCTGGCGTCTTGTATCCCAGCCGTTGGTGCTATGCTAGGATTCGCTACCAAAATGTGTTTCAGCAACGCTTGGCTGAAGGAGGCTCATCACATAATAGCAACCAACTCTGCTTTTTTGTTGTTGCCTCAATCCATGATGATGTATATCAGCTTTCCAAGAAACAAGATGTTTCATATCTCTGTTACGGCTGCATGTTTTTCAACTGCAACAGGTCATTTCCACTGGCTCCTTCCTTTACATACTCAATAAAAATTTCAGCATCTCATAGAGCAAAATGGTTTTGTCTACTTCTCTTCATTTTCTATCACACGAGTATTCAGTGGTGGGCCCCTGGATGTGGTTGGGGTCCACCTCACAGCAGCCCCACCCAAGATGGCCAATGGTCAGAGGTGGTGAGGGTTGATATCCCACAACTTCTGCAGGGCACCATGTAAACTATCCTTGCTCTTTGACAAGGGAACCTGTGCTAAAGACAACTGGTTGATTACCAAAATCATTTCTAGATACATTCTGGGGATCAGGGGTAGGCAATAGTAGTAGTAGTAGTAATTAACAATAATAATATTTATACCCCATCCATCTGGCTGGGTTTCCCAAGCTACTCTGGGTGACTTTCAGCACATATGAAAATATAATAAAATGTCAAACATAAAAAAACATCCCAGTACAGGGATGCCTTGTCTGGTAATATTCAATTTTCATCCTCCTGGATGAAATAACAATATATTATACCCCGCCCATCTGGCTGAGTTTCCCCAGCCACTCTGGGCAGCTCTCAACAGAACATTAAAAGCATGATAAAACATTAAACATCACAAACTTCCCTAAACAGGACTGCCTTCAGATGTCTTCTAAAAGTCAGATAGTTGTTTATTTCCTACACAGCTGATGGGCGGGCATTCCACAGGGAGGGCGCCATCACTGAGAAGGCCCTCTGCCTGGTTGCCTGTAATCTCACTTCTCGCAGTGAGGGAACCGCCAGAAGGCCCTCGGCGCTGGACCTCAGTGTCTGGGCTGAACGATGGGGATGGAGACACTCCTTCAGGTATACTGGGCTGAGGCCCTTTAGGGCTTTAAAGGTCAGCACCAACACTTTGAATTGTGCTTGGAAACGTACTGGGAGCCAATGTAGGTCTTTCAGGACCGGTGTTATATGGTTTCGGCGGCTGGTCCCAGTCACCAGTCTAGCTGCTGCATTCTGGATTCATTGCAGTTTCTGAGTCACCTTCAAAGGTAGCCCCACGCAGAGTGCATTGCAGTAGTCCAAGCGGGAGATAACCAGAGCATGTACCACTCTGGCGAGACAGTCCGTGGGCAGGGAGGGTCTCAGCCTGCATACTAGATGGAGCTGGTAGACAGCTGCCCTGGACCTGTGCCTCCATGGACAGCTGTGAGTCCAAAATGACTCCCAGGCTGGAGACCTGGTCCTTCAGGGGCACAGTTACCCGATTCAGGACCAGGAAGTCCCCCACATCCGCCTGCCCCCTGTCCCCACAAAACAGTTCTTCTCTCTTGTCAGGATTCAACCTCAATCTGTTAGCCGCCATCCAACCTCCAACCACCTCCAGACACAGGACATTCACTGCCTTCACTGGTCCTGATTTGAAAGAGAGGTAGAGCTGGGTATCATCCACATACTGATGAACACCCAGCCCAAACCCCCAGATGACCTCTCCCAGTGGCTGCGTATCGATGTTAAAAAGCATGGGGGAGAGGACGGAACCCCGAGGCACCCCACAAGTGAAAGCCCAGGGGTCTGAACACTCACCCCCCTGTCGGCATGCAGAGGGTTGCAAGGCCAGCTGGCTAGCCCCAGCTGGGTCGCCTCCTTCCAGCCATCCCACTGCAAAGACCCATCGGTTTCTAATCCGACGTAAATCAGTGAACCAGGCTTCAAAGCCAGGGCACACTATATCAGCAGATCAAACTGTGCACACAGAATAGGAGTGAGGCTTGTGGAAGCTATACACACAACGGAAGTTCCCAGCAAGCTGTGCTGGTATGTAAACTGACATGTGACATGCAACAGTTCCATGTCTGCAACTAAAGGTGGAATGGAATTTTCCAACACACACCCTCCACCACGTTCTGGACACGGCCCAGGAGGAAGGAGCAGAACCACTGTTTAACAGTGCCCCCAGCTCCTGGCCCCTCTAGACGGTCCAGAAGGATGTCGTGGTCGATGGTATCAAAGGCCTCTGAGAGATCCAGCAGAACTAGGAAACAGCTCTCACCTTTGTCCCTAGCCCACCAGAGATCATCAACCAGCGCGACCAAGGCAGTTTCAGTCCCATGATGAGGCCCGAATCCCGACTGGAAGGGATCCAAATGGTCCACATCCTCCAGGTGTTCTTGGAGTTGTTCAGCAACCACCTGCTCAATCACCTTGCCCAAGAATGGAAGATTTGAGACTGGTCCAAAAATGGTTTTTTAAGAAGCAGTTTAATGACCGCCTCTTTCAGTGGGTCTGGGAAGGCTCCCTCACAGAGGGAAGCATTCACCACTCTGCAGATCCCATTGTCTAGCCTTTCCCGGCTTGCTTTTATGAGCCAAGATGGGCAAGGATCAAGGAGACAGGTGGTCGGTTTCACTCGTCCAAGCAGCCTGTCCACATCCTTGGAGGTAACAGATTGGAATTGATCCCATGCTACTTGACTTGACTAGACTAGACTAGGATTTTAGCACTTTTTGCTGTGTCATTTATATGGGTAAAAAGCCCACTCAGGATGGGCTGCCACCGACCCGTATGTATCTTAAAAAGTTCTAGAAGGAGCATGTCTTCACTTGGTGCTTTGATAAGAGACTTTTGATAAGAGTTTTTATTTCCATGGGGGTTTCCGCTTGCCCTCATGGTAAATTTCACCAATCAATGGACATCTCAGCAATTGTTGGCTGCCTGGCCTGCTCTCCCAGTAGTTTTACAAAGTGATCCACCCAATGTTGCGTCATTATGGTGGCATCTAATGTTGATCTTCTGTTGTTCATGGCCCAGGACACCAGTTCCCAAAATTTATCCTCCCTTTGCTCAGACACCACTAGCATCAGCTACTGCCACTGTCTTCTCACTATAGGAACTTAAGATACTTAAGGAACTTCTTCTATACTGCTCTGACTCTACTCATGTTTATCTTGTTAATTTCAAGGGTTTACCCCCTGAAAAGTCCTGATAGCCCTTAACAGGCACTTGTTTGCTTTTCTGCACTGCCCGTAGAACCAGACTTTCTCGTTCTCCTGTATTCCCTTGGCAGCATTTGAATTGATCAGATGAGGTCTGGTAACTGTAGTAATATGCATGTAGTCCACCAGCGGATTGGACAAATCGCTTATGAAATAGTGTTGCAATCTTATCCTTTGAACACCTGCCAGGATCCTGTGTATCTTATCGTTCATGTTCAGAGACCGTTTCACTCTCATCACACCCAGGGATTGACAAGGAAATAGGCTAAAGTAGCCGCTGAAAACAGGGAGGGATCACTTTCTGTTCTTACCGGTGTATCAATTGTTTTTGCCAAGTTGAAAAGTGATGCCGACACAACGAAGTAGTCTATGACGCTTCCGCCCTTATTTTGTAAAAAGGTAAGCTGGCAGTTAGAAGAGTCAGCTGGACTCCCATTTAATATACAGTGGTACCTCGGGTTACAGATGCTTCAGGTTACAGACTCTACTAACCCAGAAATAGTACCTCGAGTTAAGAACTTTGCTTCAGGATGAGAACAGAAATTGCACAGCAGCGGGAGGCCCCATTAGCTAAAGTGGTACCTCAGGTTAAGAACAGTTTCAGGTTAAGAATGAACCTTCAGAACAAATTACCTTATTTTTTGCTCTATAAGACTCACTTTTTCCCTCCTAAAAAGTAAGGGGAAATGTGTGTGCGTCTTATGGAGCGAATGCAGGCTGTGCAGCTATCCCAGAAGCCAGAACAGCAAGAGGGATTGCTGCTTTCACTGCGCAGCGATCCCTCTTGCTGTTCTGGCTTCTGAGATTCAGAATATTTTTTTTCTTGTTTTCCTCCTTCAAAAACTAGGTGCGTCTTGTGGTCTGGTGCATCTTATAGAGTGAAAAATACGGTAAGCTCTTAACCCGAGGTACCACTGTATATATAGTTTGTGCAGGAAGACCCATTCCAGCAGTTCCAGTTCCTGATGACTGACTCTCTTGTCCATAGAAGTTCATGGGAAGAGGAAGATTTCCTCCTTGCCAAGCCCCTGTCCCTGGTAGTGTAATTCCCTCTGAGCTGCCTCCAATGCAGGCATTGAAATCTGAGCAGACATTTCACAATAAACTGTTCTAGAGGTTTTGTCAGATCCAACCAAATGTTAATGCAGAAAAAATGAACCTCCTGGTACTACACTAAACTGCAATGGCAGGAAATATTTATAAAACAAGCCAGACTCTACTACAATAATTTCCCCAGCTAGATCAGATGATCAGGGCCCTCGTTCCTCACCCTTTAAAGACTTCTTGACCGCTGGGAGACTAAACTGGTAAATTATTATTATTATTATTATTATTATTATTATTATTATTAATTTATACGCCACCCATCCTGTTGGGTTTCCCCAGACAGTCTGGGTGGCTCCCAAAAGAATAAAAAAAAGAATAAAACATCAAATATTAAAAACTTCCCTAAACAGATGCATGGGGTTAGTTTCTTGTGGCCAAGTCTCTTGTAGGCAAATACTAACATTTTATTTTGTTTTGCATGAACTCTATCAAATATTTCCCCCCTTCTTACCCCACAAGATTCCAAGTAAGAATACTGAGATCTTTCTGGGAGCTTCCGAGTTAATGACAAAGTCTTTCTGGCAGTCTTACAGTAGTGCAAGCATTGCTGTACCTGTTTTCCCAGCTTTTGACCGTGAGAGTAGCTTAACTGCAGAGCTTATAAGAGAGCGACCAATTCTCAGTTCCCCTTCCCTGGATAAGAAACTTCTGCAGTCTTAGAGCAGATCCGGATGTTATTGGGGGAGGCACTAAACACTGGGGTCTCAACCCTTTGTTGTGCCCTGCCTCTATCGCTCTGTCTTACATTTCTGGGTCTCTCAGTCCAACTTCCATTATGTGTTGGGGATGTTATGTTCCTCTGCTACACCCAGCATTCATGTGGGCCCCTTTTAACTCAAAAAATGACATCTCTATTTGCAAGCAAATAAATCAGAGACCAGAATTCATCTCGTTTTCCATGAAAACCAGTTCAGTACTGCCCTTCTGATCATACATGCCCACCCAGTTGCAACAAAAGTCATTGTCAAGTTTCATAGATGGCCCTAAAATGTCCCACATGTCCGCTAGCAGTTTGGTCTCAGATCTCACTGGTCCACTGGACTTCAGAACTGGCCACATGTGTGATCACCTCAAGCCCTGGGAACACCATGAGGATTTGAATTAGCTCCCTTCAGATGAAGGGGTCTCTATAGTAGTTATCACACCAGCATGGGAACATTGAAGTGGTTTCTGAACACCCAGACAGCAGTCAGAAAAAGCTGCCCAGGCAGTAAAACATTGCTTGGTTACAAAATGGTAAAGGACCCTAAACTACTGGTATACAAAAAAGCCCTAGTTTCAGATTCCATTCATGTCTGAAACAAAAGCTGCTGGTTAAAGCCATGCGGCTGAGCAGAAGAAACCAGTGCAGCCCTCCTCACATACTGAACCCATATATAGAGTGAGTACGACAAAAGGCTTGATTTCCTCCCAAGGTGAGGGGAAGTGACATAAGCCAAGGCTGGCAGGACAGCTTACTCTATGACATTAACCCCTTGAGGCATTTATTAGACTCAAGTATGCTGGTTGTGTGAGGCTGGCAACTCTACAGACCTTCCAAGTATCCCTGTTTTTCAGGGACAGTCCTGGATTTACAGAAGCCGTCCCAGTTTCTGATTTGATCCCAGAATGCCCCACTTCTCCTTAGGACAGGCATAGGCAAATTCGGCCCTCCAGATGTTTTGGGACTACAACTCCCATCATCCCTAGTTAACAGGACCAGTGGTCAGGGATGATAGGAGTTGTAGTCCCAAAACATCTGGAGGGCCGAGTTTACCCATACCTGCCTTAAAGTAAAGGTAAAGGGACCCCTGACCATTAGGTCCAGTCATGACAGACTCTGGGGTTGCAGCGCTCATCTCGATTTACTGGCCGAGGGAGCCGGTGTACAGCTTCTGGGTCATGTGGCCAGCATGACTAAACCGCTTCTGGTGAACGAGAGCAGCGCACGGAAATGCCGTTTACCTTCCCGCTGGAGCGGTACCTATTTATCTACTTGCACTTTGACGTGCTTTCGAACTGCTAGGTTGGCAGGAGCTGGGACCGAGCAACAGGAGCTCACCCCGTCGTGGGGATTGGAACCACCGACCTTCTGATTGGCAAGCCCTAGGCTCTGTGGTTTAGACCACAGATGTCCTTATTGGAATAATGTTGGAGGGTATGGAAGATGATCCTCATGATGAGGATGTTCAGTAAAATTTCCTTGGCTGTCCACGCCTGTTCCCTCCTAGAAAGGGGTGTCTGCAGCCAGTTTCAGAACTGAACCCTGTGCTTCTGGCAATCAGCTACCATCTGATGGGTGTGATTTGGAGGGAAACTGCTTTGCAGGCCAATTAGGATCCCACTTGTGGTTCGAAATTGGCCTGTGAGCCAGAAACTTCCTACTATAGCTTTTCCATGGCAGGGACACAGCCTTTTCGCCTTTGAACCCACCCACTTAATTCCTTTGGCCTCATCCACCGCTGCTATGCAACCCCTGAGATGTTCCCAGGGCCAGTTGTGCTTCCCCGAGCTGAAAAAGGGCCTCATCCTTGTGCTTTCACTGGAAGGAAACAACACTTGGCCTTGGGCTCCATGTAGATGTTTCAGAACGGGACACCTGCATGCTTATCAGCCCACACTTGTCATCTGGCGTGCGGTTGCATTCCGAATCTGTTTTCGAGCCGTCTTCAAAGGCGGCCGCTTGTAGAACATGTTGTAATGATCTAATCTGGAGGTTGCCAAAGCTGGGTGACTGCAACCAAGCCTGTTTCTTCCAATGGATAAACGATGATGATAAAATATAGCTGTTGCGATTCTCAATTAATACCTTGTGCATGCTCTCTCGACCTGCCACACCCTCCAGGAACATGAGAAGAGAAGAACCTGATGGTCAGCCAGGTGTTTGTAGGGAATCCTCAAACTAAAAAGCAATTCTCTCCTTCTGTGGTTTCTAGCCTCTGACAACGAAGGCAGAGCTTCACCCGTGAGGTTAGTAGTCGTTGATATTCAGTGTCAGATTTACCTATGAGCTAAACAAGCTATAGCATAGGGCCCCACTCTCTTGCCCCCCCCATATAAAAGGTAAAGGGACCCCTGACCATTAGGTCCAGTCGTGACCGACTCTGGGGTTGTGGTGATCATCTCACTTTATTGGCCGAGAGAGCCGGCGTTTGTCCACAGACAGCTTTCTGGGTCATGTGGCCAGCATGACTAAGCCACTTCTGGCAAACCAGAGCAGCGCACAGAAATGCCGTTTACCTTCCCGCCGGAGCGGTACCTATTCATCTACTTGCACTTTGACGTGCTTTCGAACTGCTCGGTTGGCAGGAGCAGGGACTGAGCAACGGGAGCTCACCCCGTCGGGGGGATTCGAACCACCGACCTTCTGATCAGCAAGTCCTAGGCTCTGTGGTTTAACCCAGAGTGCCACCCGCGTCCCTTAGTGCCAGATTTACATATAAGCTAAACAAGCTATAGTTTAGGGCCCCACCTTCTTGCCCCCCCCAATATTCTTCTTCTTAATTGTATTTCACTACTAATATACTTCTTAATTGTATTTCAGTTCAACAATTATTATGCTAAAATACATATTTTTTTATGTGCAAATGGCTTTAGATACCTATTAGGTCCATAAATTACCATATAGCATATAATCAACACACAAAATAAACAGCGACCATTTGTTGTTGACAAAGGACAGCTGGACATATAAAGGGCCCCATGACCTTCCATAGCTTAGGGCCTCATCAAACCTAAATCAGGCCCTGTTGATACTGCTAACCTTCCCTTTTGTGACTTTGTTTAATCCTCTTTTAAAGCCATCCAGGTTAGTGGTCATCAAGAGTCTCTTATGGGGAAGAGTGCCATAGTTTAATGATAAGCTGTGTGAAGAAAAAACATTCTTTTATCTGTCCTGAATCTTCCCACATTCAGCTTCGTGGGATTTCCATGAGCTCTAGTGTTATGAGAAAGGGGGGAAGAAGAAGAAGAAGAAGAAGAAGAAGAAGAAGAAGAAGAAGAAGAAGAAGAAGAAGTAGAGGAAGAAGAAGAAGAAGAAGAAAAGGAAGAAGAAGAAGAAGAAGAAGTAGAGAAAGAAGAAGAAGAAGAAGAGGAAGAAGAAGAAGAAGAAGAAGAAGAAGAAGTAGAGGAAGAAGAAGAAGAAGAAGAAGAGGAAGAAGAAGAAGAAGAAGAAGAAGAAGAGGAAGAAGAAGAAGAAGAAGAAGAAGAAGAAGAAGAAGAAGAAGAAGAAGAAGAAGAGCATTTATATATTGCCCTATACTCAGAGGTCTCAGAGCGGCTTACAGAAAAGATCACAATACAGTCATACCTAGGAAGTCGAATGGAATCCATTCTGGAAGTCCGTTTTACTTCCAAAATGTTCAAAAACCAAATTGCGGCTCCTGCAGCCAATCAGAAGCCACGGAAGCCCCGTCGGACATTTGGGTTCGAAAAGAACGTTCGCAAACCGGAACAATCACTTCTGGGTTTGCGGTGTTCGGGAGCCAAAACGTCCGAGTTCCAGGGCGTTCGGGATCCAAGGTACGACTGCATATAAAATCAAAATCAAAACAATAACCCAATAACAGCACCTCCCAAGAGCTACATTTTAAAATGGTATACTAGGTTTAACAGATTAACCAAAGGCCTGGTTAAAAAGGAACGATTTTGCCTGGCGCCTAAAGGTGTATAATGAAGGCGCCAGGTGAATTTCCCTGGGGAGAGCATTCCACAGACGGGGAGCCACTGCAGAGAAGGCCCCGTTCTCGTGTTGCCACCCTCCGGACCTCTTGAGAAGGAGGCATATGAAGGAGGGCCTCAGGGTTCATATGGAAAGAGGCGGTCCTTGAGGTATTGTGATCCTGATATTATCTATTTCCTCCATGCCGTGCATCATGGGCACTCTAAGGGGCCCAGACCCCTTGGCCTTTCAAAAATATTTGCTCTCCCCGTTGACCGTGGCGAGCTGCCCCAGTCCTTTTCACCACCGCTATGTGAGAGTGCCTCCCACTCTCCCGGGGAGCCCCCCCTCCTGCCCTGTCCTCCCCTCCAATGACCTTGGTCTAGACCCAGTGCCCCACAAATCCCTCAACATGGAGGGGACTTGCCCGCCACCACCTGCTGGCATCCAGGCAGGGAGAAGTGGGGGCTGTGCACAGCCTGGGCCTGCCGTTGTGCCCTTGCCAGTCCCCTGTTAGAATTCCTGCTCCAAGATTGCAGTCATGGGATTTTTTCTATCACATGACGCTATCTGTCTTGACTCCACAGAGTGGGGAGTGACGGAGACAGGATGCTTGTGTTACTGTGTTCCATGAAGTGGGACTATTGTCCTTTGTTCTTTCTCTTTGTTGTCTGATGCTAGAGAGAGAGGGAGCCATGTTGCAGTGCTCCGTGTGTGTTTATATGTAAATAAAGTAGATTAGCCAAAATGCTGAGTTGCCAAGGTCTGTCACGCAAGCTGCGAAGACTCTGCGGATCCCTAAGTGTGCCGGTGTCGGTTGGCATCGGTCGCTGTGATGTTCGGGCAGAAGAAAGCTTTTGAAGCTCCCGAACGACCGACCAGGAGGGAGGGGACATGCCAGTAGGGCATGCGTCTCTACCAGGGTCCTACTCGAGTGTAGGCCGAGCTCCTGACATCCCCCACCAGCTCAGCGCCACCTCCCGCACCCAGAGCCCGGGCTGCCCAGGCCTCAGAAGTGCCAGGGCTGCCCAGGGCTGTGTTTGCTTGACTCTGGCCTCCCTCCCTCCTTCCAGTGCCCTTCTGGAGGGGCAGGGCAGGTGTGTGTGTGTGTGATCATTCCTCATATTTTATTCAACTTGGCTCCACTTCAATGCAATTTAACATGAATTTTACCATCTAACGAGACCATTGATCCATAAAATGAAAGCAATAATCAATATTCTGTACTATAAAATAAACAAGACAGTATTGTAGATGATAAAAATTAAATTATTATTTTTTTCTTACTTGCACTGATGATATTCATTGTTTGGATGGAGGGCCTTTATCCATTTCCGCAATCACACAATCAATCAATCAATCAATCAATCAATCAGTCAGTCATAAAATGAAAAACAAGCCACAGACACAAAAATGAAAAAGCCACACAAACAAAAACGGAAAGAAATAGCAAAAACAAAAGCCCCAAATATTACCTCAGAGCACTGCAATCAGAAATGGAGGGCTTTCATTACGATGGGGGTAGGGGACTTAAATTTGCTGCTTAAGGGTAAAACGGAAGGAAGAAATCCTTAATTGCTATGCGGGGGACTCAAATTTGCTGCGCAGCAGTAAAAATGGAAGCTCAGGAGCATGTTCAGCTTCCGAGGCAAAGTTCGAAAGCCGGAGCACCTACTTCTGGGTTTGCAGTGTTTGGCTTCCGAGTTGTTTGGGAACTAAGCTGTTCAAAAACTGAGGTACCACTGTAATGCGTTATTAAAATGTGGCACCAGAGGGCGCTGCAGAGCAACCAGGAACCAACAACAAGGGAAACTGCTGTTAGAGAGGTAATGAACAGGTGGTATTTTTTTTGGCAGTGATGTTTTAGAACAATACCGTTAATATTGTTCTAATAACGTTTAAAAGGTCATCGTAGATCCAGCCCAGAACGCTACACAGTATTCCACATGTGGCTGCACCATAGACTTGTATAGCAACATTGTGATATTGGCAGTTTCATTTTCAATACCATTTCCTAGTGATTCTTAGCAAGGAATTTGCCTTTTTCACCGGGTTAGTGTCTCCGTTAATCCATCCACAATGACCTTAAAGGTAAAGGGACCCCTGACCGTTAGGTCCAGTCGCAGACGACTTTGGGCTTGCACGCTCATCTCGCTCTATAGGCCGAGGGAGCTGGCGTTTGTCCGCAGACAGTTTTTCCAGGTCATGTGGCCAGCATGACTAAGCCGCTTCTGGCGAAACCAGAGCAGCACACAGAAACGCCATTTACCTTCCAGCTGGAGCGGTACCTATTTATCAGTGATGGTTCCGACCTGGTGGAATGCTCTGTCCCATGAGACCAGGGCCCTACAGGATTTAACTTCCTTCCACAGGGCCTGTAAGACAGAACTATTCCACCTGGCTTTCAATTTGAACCTGGCCTGATCTTTTGTTCCCCTTCCTTCCCTGCCCCTCCCCTTTTTATGAAGATTGCCTGCTCTGGGATCCCACAGCTAATTCTCCCCTGGTCTCCTCGCTGGCCCAAGTGGGACTAATTTAGCCAGCTAGCCCTGGTGATCATCTGAAGCTGAGGCTCCAATACTTTGGCCACCTCATGAGAAGAGAAGACTCCCTGGAAAAGACCCTGATGTTGGGGAAGATGGAGGGCACAAGGAGAAGGGGACGACAGAGGACGAGATGGTGGGACAGTGTTCTCGAATCTTCCAGCATGAGTTTGACCAAACTGCGGGAGGCAGTGGAAGACAGGAGTGCCTGGCATGCTCTGGTCCATGGGGTCACGAAGAATCAGACATGACTAATTTCTAAACAACAAAAAAGATGTATCCCAGGTTGTCTGTTGTTTCAGTTTTCTGTACACCACATGTTTTTAATATATTAAACGGTATAGAAATTAAATAATCCTCCGTCATCAACACGTGTCTCTTTACAGTTGTTTACACTGAGCTATACCTGTCATTTCCCCACCCAGTCATTCAGTTTCCAGAGACCCTTTTGCAGCTTTCCATGATCTCATTATGCTTTAACAACCCTAGGCAATGGAGAAGCCGATGTTGCTGGATTACAGCTCCCCAAATCTCTTCTCTACTGGCTATGTTGGCTGACTGGGGCTTCTGAAGGTATGAGTCCATCAACGCCCAGAGAGGACTCCACCCCATATGAAAGGACATATTTGTATAGAGTCTGATTTGACTACAAAACCCACCATTCATTATCCTTGTCCTTGCTGGCTGTGGTTGACTGGAGACAGAGCCAAACATCATCTTAACTTGCACATACTGTAGCTCTAAATTTGCTACTATACATATAGGAGAGTGTGCAGATGCTATGCAGGCGGGTGTCTTTATTGTCCTCTTCTTTTGGGTAGTGATGGTGCATTAATGAAAATAATAATAATAATAATAATAATAATAATAATAATATATTTATATCCTGTCCATCTGGCCATCTGGCTGGGTTTCCCCAGCCACTCTGGGTGGCTTCCAACAAAAGATTAAAAGTACCGTACATTAAAACAGGGCTGCCTTCAGATGTCTTCTAAATGTCAGATAGTTGTTTATTCCTTTGACATCTGATGGGAGGGTGTTCCACAGGGCAGGTGCCACCACCAAGAAGGCCCTCTGCCTGATTCCCTGTAAGTTCACTTCTCACAGTGAGGGAACCACCAGAAAGCCCTCGGTGCTGGACCTCAGCGTCTGGGCAGAATGATGGGGGGTGGAGATGCTCCTTCAGGTATACTGGGATGAGGCCCTTTAGGGATTTAAATGTCAGCACCAACACTTTGAATTGTGTTTGGAAATGTAATAGGAGCCAATGTAGGTCTTTCAAGACCGGTGTTATGTGGTCTTGGCGGTCACCAGTCTAGCTGCCACATTCTGGATTAGTTGCAGTTTCTGGGTCACCTTCAAAGGTAGCCCCACGTAGCCCCACGTATCTACTTGCACTTTGCTGTGCTTTCGAACTGCTAGGTTGGCAGGAGCTGGGACCGAGCAACGGGAGCTCACCCTGTTGTGGGGATTTGAACCACCAACCTTCTGATCAGCAAGCCCTAGGCTCTGTGGTTTAACCCACAGCGCCATTTGTGTCCCATTTCATGGTTTCGTGCCTAACTGTGCCTTAATGGATAGAATACTAGCAGGAGAGCACGTTTAGTGAGCAGAGGTGCAGCCCCTTAGGACGTTTACCCATCATTCCATTCTTAGGAAACTCGGTTTCATTACAAAGTCCCACATTCTGTAGTTTCACCCTCTGTTCTCAAAGAATGAAGTGACAGGCTAATCCTCAATTGCTGCTTCCAGGCAGGTTGAAAGATGTAGCTCATTTAATTTTAGAGCATGTGGGAAAGCACTGCCAATGTTTCCTTTTTTTAAAAAAAGTGAAGTAATTACTCATTTTCCACCCCCTGACAGATGTCTGAAAGAACCACCTGCAACGACGCCCTGCAGCACATTTGTAGAAGGATCTCAGAATAATAAAGCTGAGTCAGAATAGCAACCCTAAGTGGCCAGCAGGGGGAGCTGCTACTCTTGCAATAGGATTTTTGTTGTTGTTTAGTCGTTTAGTTGTGTCCGACTCTTCGTGACCCCATGGACCAGAGCACGCCAGGCACCCCTGTCTTCCACTGCCTCCCACACTTTGGTCAAACTCATGCTGGTACCTTCGCGAACACTGTCCAACCATCTCGTCCTCTGTCATCCCCTTCTCCTTGCGCCCTCCATCTTTCCCAGCATCAGGGTCTTTTCCAGGGAGTCTTCTCTTCTCATGAGGTGGCCAAAGTCTTGGAGCCTCAGCTTCAGGATCTGTCCTTCCAGTGAGCACTCAGGGCTGATTTCCTTCAGAATGGAGAGGTTTGATCTTCTTGCAGTCCATGGGACTCTCAAGAGTCTCCTCCAGCACCAGAATTCAAAAGCATCCATTCTTCGGCGATCAGCCTTCTTTATGGTCCAGCTCTCACTTCCATACATCACTACTGGGAAAACCATAGCTTTAACTGTACGGACCTTTGTTGGCAAGGTGATGTCTCTGCTTTTTAAGATGCTGTCTAGGTTTATCACTGCTTTTCTCCCAAGAAGCAGGCGTCTTTTAATTTTGTGGCTGCTGTCACCATCTGCAGTGATCATGGAGCCCAAGAAAGTAAAATCTCTCACTGCCTCCATTTCTTCCCCTTCTCCTTCTATTTGCCAGGAGGAATAGGATATTAGTACCGTACTTTTCTGTGTATAAGACGATGATTTATTATGTTAAATTAACAGTAAAAAATTGGGGTCTTCTTATAGACGGGTAGCGCAGAGGGAGGACGGTGGATGGTTTCCTGCTGCGAGCAGCATATTGTCACTGGCGTTAGTGTGCATGATTGGTGGCAGTGCCAACGGCTGCTGTCTCTCGGCCATTGCTGCGGCAATTGGGCGGGTGTTTGGTGGCTGCTGGCGGCGAGCAGAAATACGATTGGAGGCTTCTGCATCACGTGCGACCGGGTGAGCATTTTTAGGCATCCCTCCCCCCCCAAAAAAGTTCAACAACTCCGGGTAATCTCCCCCATTTTCTTAATTTTGAGTTCCCCAAATAGGGGGTGTCTTATACACAGGGACATGTTATACACGAAAAAATATGGTCTGTGGCATTAATACATCCCCTTAGCTGCACTTAGAATCAGAGAATTGTACAGCTGAAAGGGACACCCAAGGCTCATCTAGTCCAACCCCCTGGAATGCAGACTTCCACAGACTGTGGCAGTCTACCTCTGAACACCACAGGCCAGAGGCAAACAACAACAACAACAATAATAAACATTTTATTTCTACGCCGCCCTCCCCAGACAAGACCAGGCTCAGGGCGGCTAACAACCAATTATAAAAACAAGTTGATTGAAATACAACTTAAAAAACAAGATTAAAATATAACATTGAAACATTAAAGCATAAAATATCACAGGAGGAGAAAGGAAAAAAGAAAGGAGGGGGAATCAAATTGATTCTAAGCCAAAGGCCAGGTAGAACAACTCTGTCTTACAGGCCCTGCGGAAGGAATTCAGATCCCGCAGGGCCCTGGTCTCATGAGGCAGAGCGTTCCACCAGGCCGGAGCCAGTGCTGAAAAGGCCCTGGCTCTGGTTGAAGCTAATCAAACTTCCTTAGGGTCCGGGACCTCTAGGGTGTTGCTATTTATGGACCTTAAGGTCCTCCATGGAGCATACCAGGAGAGGTGGTCCCGTAGGTACGAGGGTCCTAGGCCATGAAGGGCTTTAAAGGTCAAAACTAGCACCTTAAATCTGACCCTGTACTGCACTGGGAGCCAGTGCAGCTTGAAAAGCACTGGGTGAATATGCCCCCATGGCAGAGACCCCGTGAGGAGCCTCACTGCAGCATTCTGCACCCGCTGGAGTTTCTGGGACAGCTTCAAGGGCAGCCCCGCGTAGAGCGAATTACAGTAGTCAAGCCTGGAGGTGACCGTCGCATGGATCACTGTGGCCAGGTCAGGGCGGGAAAAGTAAGGAACCAACTGCTTGATGCGGCGAAGGTGGAAAAATGTCGTCTTGGCTGTTGCTGTAACCTGCACCTCCATTGAAAGGGAGGTGTCAAGGATTACACCCAAACTCTTAAAGGAAGGCAATCACAGGGAGGGTGGCTTATGGAGGAAAGTATCTTATAGAGAGTCAGCCAATTTGTCCATCTGGCTCAGTATCCCCACACTGACTGGCAGCTGTTCTCTAGGGGTTTCAGACAGGAGTCTTTCCCAATCATACCTGGGGATGCTGGAGATTTAACCCGCGACCTTTTGCATGCCAGGCAGATGATTTATCTCTGAGCCCCGGCCCTTCAGGCTTTGCTTATAGATTTCTTCTTCAAGCATCTGGTTGGCTGCTATAGAAAAGACGATTGATTTGATGGAGCCGCCTTGCGATGTCTGTATCTGTCCACCAGATGGTGCTGGTGAGCTTGACACCGGGATAAAAAGGTTGGCTCACGGGTAAGGAATTTCTGGCGTTTAGAACATGTAGGTACTTCTTGTACACAAAACATGCATGAGAGAGGGTTGTTATTATTGAGTTTGGCTTGCTAGCTTCATGGAGGCATCTGGTTGAACTGCTGGAAAGAGATGCTGGCACTGCCCACCTCACTCTTAGTCTGAACTCGGCCAGCTCCCATGTGCCTGCTTGCAAGCACGGCTGTGTGACACTGTCTGCAGCTTCATTCACCTGAGTTTCAATATTACCCCTGGTCATAGCTGTCAACTTACAGATTTGAAAATAAGGGACCAGCAGCCTCGAAAATAAGGGATCAACAGCCCAAATAAGGGATTTTGCTTAGCTTATACATAAATCCGGCACTGATGGAGCCAGGCTGCTTTGGCTGCGAGTGACTGTGTTTTGCAGGGGGTTGGAATAGATGATCCTAAGGGTCTACAACTCCCACCAAAGAAGAGCGGCAGACAAAACTGATGAACGACGTCGAGATGGCAAAGCAGAATTAGAAACCAGTAAGAGGACCTCTTTAATAAAGAATGGGGAAAGTTTATAATTTAGTTGAAATGCTATTGTAACGAGTTACATACATTGGTAGGAGTGACAGAAAACTTGTAGTAAAAATTTGAACTATGGATGGAGAAATGATTTATAAAAATAGAGTTATGAAAGGGATGCAGAGGGGGAAATCACTACATGAAGATGCTGCACTGGTTGGAGGGGATGCTAAGCAGCACGTCGGGGCTGCCGTCGTCCTGGTGCGAGGAGTTCCATCAGCCCTTCCCCGCCTGAGGGGGGGGAGGGAGAGAGACTCTCAC